ACGTTCGTTTGGCATTCGTCTTTGATCCCTGACGACGTTAAGCTCACCTCGAAATCACGAGCGGCACGAGCAAAGGTGACGTTTCATTCCAAAGATGGCCAATGGTGGTGGTGAGCCTCAACGGCGAGATTCAACAGAGATCTAGGTTCCATGGCAACGGGCAAGCAGTAGCCGACGACATCTTCCCCACAGCGAGCACGACGGAGCGAACCAAACCCACGAATTGGGTCATTTCTGTAGCAGGATCGGCGGCAATCGTCCTTCTGGCGAGCAAATCCCACGTCATGCGAAGCTGGCGGCATTTGGCGTGTTGTAGCAGTGCTGACATCGTTCTTCCCTGTTGTTTCTCGCGACCCTCACCATCTGGCGACAACCCACAACTCACGGTACGTTCCCATCATTTTCGGACAGCAGCAGCGACAACATCTCAGATTCGTGAAGCCGGTGAGTCTTGACGTTTTACCATCGTTCCGGTGACATTAGGCGGTGACCCACACCTCGTATGAAGCCGATTTGCAATACCCACCCTGTTCGGCATTGTTTCGGTGTTGACCCACTCCTTTTTGGACTCAAATCAGCATACCCATTCCTTTTCGGCGTAGGAGCAGCAAGCTTGAGGCTTTTCAAACTCAGTTTTGAAGTGTCGAGCTCTTTCGACATCAACCCACTATCAACCCAAGTGGTCTTAGCGTGAGTTAGTAGGAACCCTTCGACGAGCTTAATAGTGTAATAGGCCTTTGTTCGTAAGTAGTTTCTTACTTGAGGGATTGGGTGTTATGTGCTGATATGATATGGTTGTTTGCTCGTGTGCCTATGTGTGACATTTACATGATTTGTTGTCATTGTTATCATTTAGTAAACGTCATGGTTGATAAAATTGTTGATATATCTTAGGAAAATTATGTGGTTGTGTGAATAAAATTGTAACCAAGTAATCTTGGATGGCTATGTTTGAATTTTTGTTATGTTCTAATTGGTTTTCATGATAAAAATTGTATACTGGTACTATAATCTGTTGTTTCGAAAGCATATTGAATATTTGTGAGAAATCGATTGTGTTTGATGTATGCTGGGTATCTATTGATTATAGTTTGGTTAAGTTGTTGATTGTGCCTCTTATGTGAACCATGCCTGTTAGAGTTGTTGGATCATGTTAGACTATTTTAAATTGATTGGTATTTATGTATGATCATTTTGGTGTATCGCATATTGGACTGTTATGAGATTATTGATGCATGAGGCATGGCATAGTAGCAAGTAGGACTCTTGTGAGAGTTTCGAGATATAATGAAGTGAGTGGATGAGTAACAAGGCCAGAGGACTGGCACACCACTAGATGGATATCGAGGCTCCAGATACAAAGGTTGGGGATCGATACCCCAACTTTGGTAGAGATGAGTGTTGAAGCTCCGGGTACAAAGGTCGGAGGTCGGCACGGTGATTCTATTGATGAGTAGTGTTGGGTCTTGATGTGGTGGTGGTCAAGGACCAACATGCCTAGTAGACGTTGAGGCCTTGAGGATAAATGCCAAGGATCGATGCACAGTTCGAGAACTTGGCCATGTGTGGTCAAAGGTCGAATGCCAAGCGATGTAGAAAAGTGTGGATGCCTTAACTGTGCGTGGTCAGGGGTCAGTACAACTCG